CCTGGTCAGGGCGCGTTCTCAAGGCAATGGATCGACGTTTCTCTCTCACATTGCTGTTTCTCTCTCTCTTTCTCTCTCTCTCTCCCTTCCTCTCTCTAAAACCAATAAACATGTCCTTGGCCGAGGATATATATATATATATATTTGACATGAAATCCCCAACCTGAGAAGCACTGATTTAGAACCTTGGCCACCCAGGTGGCTCGGCGGGAGCACATGTTCTCATCCAGGCCCCTGGCCTGCAGCCCGGCGTCCTTCCATGGCCGGCAGGAAGGGGATGGAGCGCACTCTTTCTGACACAATGGAATCTAGGACAAAATAGATCTTATCTTCCATCGGTGGCCTTGTTATACCACAGAAACTGATGAGAAACATTCAGCATGCATTTTGACAGCTACACAACAATGGCCACATACTCCATTTTTGAGAGTTGTGTGTACAACGCTGCTGAAACACAATTCTGGAGCTCTGTTGCTCTCTGTTTCAGTTTAATTAGTTTAAATGGAACAAATATGCATTTGGTTACCAACTGGGCAAACGCAGCGTGAGGGGCTGTGGGAAACCAGGAGTGGACCAGATATGACTGCTGCCTTCCCCCAAGTCACTGTTCAGTTGGGCAGCAAGACAAGCAATGCCTGATCATCAGGAAGGTGGAGATGACTGTCTCGGGATTGGAGGAGGGAGAAAGGAGGCAGTTCAGAGGAGGCAGAGGTCACAGTTGACAGAGGACCAGGAAAAACACTCTGAGAAAGTGGCATTTAGATGGACCAGATCATGTGAGCAATTGGGGGACAGCAACGGGCACCCAGTAAATGCTCAGTAAGTGTTTGAGGAACTAATTAAATGCATATTAATGGCAATGCATGTTTCAGTTAAAATAAATAGTTACTCAGCACAGTGCTCCTCTTAGACTGAAAACATTTGGGGAAAGCTCTTAATTAAAGCAAGTTTTATGCGTATTAAGGGTTGCTTTCCCTCATTTTAATTCAGTGACTGCAGTACTTACTTTGCAACACAAGAGGGAGCTGCTGCCCAGATTATTTAACCAAAATAGAATTTCTTTAGGTTTGCCCATTTCTTCCCAAATTGAGTGTAGTATATGGTGCCTTTTAACCACCTTCCCCCCAAATAACCCACCAACCAAAATTTTTCTATCACAATACAATAAAATTATTATCAGTGGTGCATTGTTTTCCAGAAGGATTTTCTCCTAACTTACATGACTAGAAGGAGAAAAAAAACATTTAAAATGTTTTATAAATGAATACCCTAGACAAGGCTGGCGGGTTCTTCAGAGTCCTAAATAAGTAGGGTTTCCCAGTGAAGGAAGCCCTACTTAGAAAAATGCTTCGGAGCCTCCTGTGTGGGCAAGTATGAGGTGACAGCCATTTCTAAGTTCCCCAAGGTTTCAAGAGGGCCAAAGTTGCTACAGCTGAGATGTTGGCTGGGTCCTTCAAACTTAGGATGTGTTGTTTTTTTTGCAAAGTGTTAAAAATAATGGACTAGGAAGTAGCTGAAATTCGGGTGTGTCTTAACTAAGAACACAGACCTGAGGAGGAAAATTATCAAGTAATTATATGATCTTAAGGGATTTCTTGTTTTGCTAACGGTTCCCCCATAGATTTTTTCCCCGTAGTAAGCTCCCAAGTAACTGTATGTTTTTAAAAAGATTCAGTTACCAAAATCAAATCCCCACACCATTTCCATTAAATGAAGTGTGTACTGTTATCTAAAAGCAGGCCCACTAAATGACAGCGTACAGACCATTTATTTTATTTATAATTAATTTATTTTTGTTACAGATGGTTCTCCTTTTCCTCCCACTGATTCCCCCTTCCCCACCCTCCCCGCCCTGTCCCCAGTTTGTTGTCCATGTCCATTGTTCATGCACACATGCATATAAGTTCTGTGGTTTATCTCTCCCCCACCACCCCCTCTTCTGGGGATTGTCAGTCTGTACCCCATTTCCACGTCTCTGGGACTACCCCATTCCTCAGACTGCTATGTTTATTATATTCCACAAATAAGTGAGATCATATGATACTTGTCTTTCTCTGTTTGGCTTGTTTCACTTAGGATAATACTTTCCAGGTCCCTCCATGTCGTCTCAAAGGATAAGAGATCTTTCTTTCTTACAGCTGCATAGTACTCCATTGTGTATATGTACCACAGCTTTTTGATCCATTCGTCTACTGATGGACACTTGGGCTGTTTCCAGATCTTAGCTATTGTAAATAGTGCTGCTATGAACATGGGGGTACATATATTCTTTCTGATTGGTGTTTTGGGCTTCTTAGGGTATATTCCTAGAAGTAGGATCACTGAGTCAAATGGCAGTTCAATTTTTAATTTTTTGAGGTAACACCATATTGTTTTCTATAGTGGCTGCACCAGTCTGCATTCCCACCAGCAGTCATACAGGCCATTTAAAGTCATACAGGCCATTAACAACTGTTAAGGCTGACAGTTGTCCATGGGCTTTTGGCTGCCTGAGAATGAACGAGAAGAGCTTCCAGTGAAAACATGTGCCTGATTCATGACCAAATTCAACCTATGTTAAGAATCTGAATTTTATCTTAAAGAGAGAAAACAATCCCTTGTGTCTTCCCAGAACTACTTTATTATCTGTGATTCTTTCTGTAACAGGCAGTCCCAGCTTTCTGCCATCACCAGACTCTCCCAAGTCCGAACACCCACGTTTGTGTACCTCCTTCTACCTGGACTGTTGCTTATATGCCTCACATTTCGGGGATGAAGACCAGGCCTTCTGGAGTTTTGTGTCACCTACAGAGCCTACTCTAGGCCCGGCAGTGGACAATTCTTTCATGATTAGAAAAAATAATAGCCAAGGGTGACTGATCAAGATGGGGAAGAAAACAGGCTCTTCATGCTTAGGGATTATATGTTTGCTTGTGCTGGGTTGGTTGGTGTTAAATCCTAGTTCTCTGGTGCAGAGGGAGCAGGAGTGGTGAGGAGCACAGACTGGGAGAGTCTTGGGTTCAAATCCCATCCCTGCCACTTCTAGCTGTGTGATCTCGGGCAAGTTTCTATTCTTTCCACGTCTTAGTTTCTTCATCAGTGACAGGATAATGATGCTGATAAAACTCACCATATTGGATTTATTATTTCTAAAGTACTCAAAACAGTGTCTGACACACAGTAAATACTATTAGTGATTATAAAATCGAATAATTATATTGTGTGATACAGTCAAATGGACTTTGATTCATTAAAACTAAATAAAGCTTTCAGGAAATATAACTGAGATGGGTTGATGAAAATGTCCTGGAATTAGAGTGCGATGGTCACACTGCCTCGTGAATGTATTGACAAGTGGGGAATTTTATGGTATGTGAATGTCTTAATAAAAATGGATGGAGAAAAATTCAACAAATGTTTGCGGACACAGTAGGTACTCTACCCTCTCCTGGGTTCTGTGGTGGACATAAAGCAGTTCAGGACATAACCTGTGCCCTGGAGGGTTTTATTTAAGAAGCATCTGCAGAGTGTCAGCCACTTTTCCAGTGTCCTGGAGAAGATGTCACCATCCACAGCTTTTACTCTGAAACTCAGAAGGGATAAGTAACCTGCCCAAGGTCCCACAGGAAGTATAGGTAGCCAGACCCAGACTTCCTTTTTCAGGTAGGGACGATCTCCTTGAAGACAAAAGATCGACATCCAGAAAGCAATTAGTGAAGCAGACATCACAGGAGCTCGTCAGGTGCAATGCATGTGATAAGGAGAATAAGAAAGAGCCTGGCCCTGGGCAGCCAGCGGTGGGGGATGTTCCCGGAGGCAAAGGCCTTGGCTTCGGATGCAGGTCAGTTGTGGTGGGAGTCGCTGTCTTTAGGGATGTGTAAGAAGTGCTCACACACTTGCTTTCCTAGAAGTATGCATATTCTCAGGATGTAAAGCCTATGGTGATCATATGAACACGCACAGATGTATAAGGAACTCACTGACACAGCTGAAGCCACAGGCACTTTGACCAACTGCACAAGGTAGGATGTTAGAGAATGAGGGGACTCTCAAGGCCGTTTATGTTGTCTGAGCATTCATTCACTTGTCTCTTAATTTCTTCAACACCGAGCATCAACCTAATACACCTGAGAATATAGACATAAATAAAATACACTCTGTTTCTTTGGGAATATTCTAAGTTGGGCATTCAAATCAGACAGGTATACAAGAAAATACTATTAAATGGTAAGTGGTGTATAGCAGAGGCTATAGATAGAAGAATGAAAACAAACACCATGTTAAATTGATGTTGAAAAAATAAAGATAGTTTAAGAGGTTTATTTTTCTAGCTAAAAATAAACTCCTAACAAAGCACCTTCACAGGGCCTTCACTGGCAGAAAGGGGACAAAGATCTGGAGAAGAGGGGCCCCAGGGGCTGGAAGAGACGGAGACCCCCCTCCACTCACTTCTCTACCCTCATTATACGCTCCCCGGGTGGTGGGTGGGTCACTTGCCCCAAAGTGGTTTAGATTTGAAGTGGGAGGTTTCCCTGGTCTATTCTTCCCGGCTGACTTCCTGAGGGAAGTTACACTGGGGCTTGGTTCTAGGAGGGAGCCAGACCCCTAACAGATGTTTGCGGGGTGGTAAGGATATTCCTCCAAGAGGAAACTATTTTCTCCATCAATGCCCCATTTTCAACCAGTCCTCACCCAGGGTCCCATCTTAAGGAAAAGCGAGGAGCAGTCTGTGATTTAAAAACAACAACACCTTTTATCGTGGTAAAATATTCATAACACACAATTCATCACCGTACCGTCTTTCAGTGCACAATTCAGCGGCATCAGTACATTCACGAAGCTGTGTAGCCCTCACCACTGTCCATTTCCAGACCTTTCCCATCATCCTAAACTGCAACTCTGCCCATTAGGCAATAGCTCACCCCTTCCTCACCCTGGTAAGCACTATTCTACTTTCTATCTCAACGGATTTGCCTATTCTAGGTAGCTCGTGTATGTGGAATTATACAATATTTGTCCTTTTGTGTCCGGCTTATTTCATTTAGTATGTTTTCATGGTTGATCCATCTTATAACATATATCAGAATCTCATTCCTCTTTAAGGCTGAGTAATATTCCATTGTATGTATATACTGTATTCTGCGTATCCACTGATGGACACTTGGGTTGCTCCCTACTGGCTATGGTGAATTATGCTGCAGTGGACACTCGGCATACAGGTATCTGTTTCCCTGCTTCCAATTCTTTGGGGAGTGGATTTGCTGGATCATATGATAATTCCATGTTTAACTTTTTGAGGCGGCACCAAACTGTTTTCTCTTTAGCTGACCCTAAGATGAAGGCACTCACCCTGCCGTGGCTGTGTGACAGGGACCCCATGCAGAAGTAGACCGAGACCACCTGCGTTCAGTCAGGCTGCCCAGCAGTGCAGTTCCCGCTGTGCCCTGCTACTGATGGGGGCAGATGTGTTCTGGGGGTCCCAGGCCAGGGCTGCACGTTTTCTGGTTCTGGGTGAATTACACTGTGGCTCTAGGTTGCTATGGAGAGAATAATATGCTCCATGGATAGGACTAGGAAAAAAAGACAGGAAGTTTCACTGGGAAGGCAGAAAGATGGTCAACACTAACACTGAGCTCTCAAGATACTGACCAGGGTTACAGAAGGGCCTTGATGGAGCCAGGGGTGTCCGGAGAGCAAGGAGCAGATGAACTGACCCAGCCCGGAGCTGCTTGGAACTCAGATTTGGTCTGGGTTCAAATCCCAGTTCTTGTCTTTAATAGTTTAGGCAATGAACTTAACCTCCCTCAAGTTCAGTGTTCTCATTTGTATGAGAGTTAGGAGGATGAAATAAATCATGTATGTGAGATGATTCCTTCAGTGCCTGGTCTTTCCACTCAATACATGTTAGGACCTGTTTTCCCTCAAACCCTGAGCATCAAACTCAGATGCTGTCTTACACTGGGAAATGCTTCTCACACCTCCCAGTTCTGGGCATCTCCTTTAACACATAGGGCTTGGGTCAACTTGCATTTTAGCAGCCGTTCTAGAACTTACCTATCGCCTCTACTGCCTCCTTTCTCTCCAAATCAAAGGGGTTATCTTTTTGGGACTGGTGGATGGGGCTTTTCTAGTAGGCACAAAACTGGCTTTTAAGCAAAAGATACATTCTTTGCTAAAAAATAAAAATAAAAGTAGATAAACAAACCAACAGAAAACCTCAGCTATTCTGGGCAAAACTCTTCCAGATTCCTCTGAAAATGAATGCTTCTTGTAGCGATCCTGTTTCACGTACTGAAAACGGTTCGCTCTCCAGGCACACAGAGCTTGAAGGGAGAAGCAACATGAAAACACTTAGAGGCCGTAACCTTACAGAAATGTAAATTGTTACCATTAATCATAAATACAGATAATTAAATGCTTATATCCAAGAGGACAAGTTTTCCCGTCGGCCCCATCCTTCTCTGCTCTGACTCGTGCTGGGGCGGAGGGGGCTCAGCTCCGCTTTCTGCTCATCCTTGTTGATGTAATTCAATGAGCCGACCTGCAAACACAGCCAAGGTTCCAATGATACAGACGAGCATGAAGACTCCAAGGAGAATGTGGTCCATCACCATTGCAACATACTTCCATTCCTCAGCCGCCTGGGAGAGAGGCAAGTGTTAGAATTTTCTTAAGGTGGTCATTAGGCCCACAGTGTTCATGCTCTGCATTTCCACAGCTACTTAATTGTAGATCTCGAAGCCCTCAACATCCTTTGGCTGGCATGATGATCTTTATTTTTCTAACAGATTATTCACAATGATGAGTTACTAAGGTGGTCTAGAGCTGATCACCAGGCTTATCTTAGGTCAGTAGCTGCCTTTTATTTATTTATTAAAAATTTTTTTTTCTTTATTGATTTGAGAGAGAGAGAGAACAGGAGAGGGAGAGAGAGATAGAAACATCTATGAGAGAGAACATAGATTGGCCGCCTCCTGCATGCCCCCCACTGGGGATTTGGCCCACAACCTGGGCATGTGCCCTGACTAGAAATCGAACCGGTGACCTCTTGGTGCATGGGTCGACGCTCAACCACTGAGCCACACTGGCCAGGCTCAGTAGCTGCCATTTAAACCCCAACCTGCCCATCAAGCCAAACCCATCCATCTGTGCTTGAGCATGTGAGTATTTAAACCCAGGGGTGTGGGTTTCAAGTCATGAGGCTTACGTTATTGGACTCCTGGTCTGACTTCATGGTCTCTGCGATGTACTTGACCCCCTCGATGGCACTTTTCACTTCGGGGTGTTTGATCAGGGGGGAGTGGAAGCCCATGGGTGGAGGCCCTGGCTTCCCAGAAATGTCAGAAATATCAATGTCTTCTGTGAATATCTTTTTGTCTTGTTTTTCTCTGGATGGTCTTTTCATTGTGGAGAAGAACATGACATTTGGGATAGTGTCAATAAAAACCTAACGAGAAAAAGAAATCCATTTATGAGAATAACTGCCAGCAGGGCAAGCATCAGCTCTGACTGAATTAGCGACGTAACTTCAGGCAAGTCATTCAGTTTCTCTGGGCCTCAGCCTCTTTGTCCTTAAACCCAAAGGACTCCACTCGATTTTCTCAAAGATTCTTTCATACATAGCCTGTGGCCCTTCCAATCCCTATGGTAAACAGTGACGATTCTGTCATGCAAGCATTTCACCACTGGAGGGAGCCTGTGCGCAGCTGTTGAACTCAAGAACCGAGTGATGCTTAGCTCCTGGAACCCCTACAGGGACCTGCTTCTTTCAAGGCCCTGTGTTCTCGTGATCACATGGTAAAAGAAAGGGCCCCTCGGGCTAAAAAATATATAAGGTTCTGGCCCCACAAAACAGCTAAGCTGTTTTCTTTCATTTCTTGTTTCTGAAAAAATGCAACATAGGTATTGCCAGGAGTCACTTAACAGCCTTAATAGAAACAGGGACTGTTTCTTCTCTAAAAAAAAAACAAAAAAACATTATGAGCTGTGGTTTCTCTGTTAATTCATGACAAATCTTTTGAATTTTACACAAAAGACCCTGGCTATTTTGTGTCTCTGTGAAGTTTTATTTAAAAACAAAAAACAAAAAACACAAAAACACAACACATTTGAAATGATAGCACATTTTAAATTTCAAAAATGTAAATACTTGAGACTGATTCCCCATTAAAACTCACTTTTTGACACTGTCTACCCAGGCCTCCCCTCCATCTCTAGCCCTATTCTCTGTAGATGATTCTACCAGCAAAAAAAAAACAGGTAGCCAGTTCGCAAACTGGAAGATATGCAAACAGAAATCTCAAGAATTTCACAGCATTTGAATTAAAAAGACAGTGATTTATTTATCTTCTCTAATGCAAGAGGTTCTTTAAGCTTGAATTAGGGGCGGGCTTCCTGAATTCTGTTTTTCTTCTCTCTCTGAGGAAGCTACATGAGTTATTTGTCTCCTGACAAGAGGCTGAAGAAAGCTCCAAAAATCCCCTGCAGCCCAGAAAGGACTTTCAGTTCCGAGTGCCCACAAGGGTGCACCGGAACTCCGCCGGCCACAGGGGGCAGCCCCGCGCACGCCCTCCAGGGGCGCCGCCCTGTGCCGAGCTCCGGGGCCTCGCTCGCTCACCTTCCGCACCCACTCCGGCATGACGTTGGTGCTGGGGGAGCGGTGGTGCGTGTTGATGACGATGACCGTGATGATGATGGATGCTATGACGAACACCATGGTGAAGAGCATGTATTTCCCGATCAAGGGCACAGCACTGGAGGTGGAAGGGATCAGCTCCACGATGACCAGGAGGAACACGGTTAAGGACAGCAGCACAGAGATGCTCAGGGTCATCTTCTCTCCTGGACAGAATGAAGACCAAACACAACAAGCCACCTGTTATGGCACCGATTGTTGTTTCTCTCAAATTTATATGTGCAAGTCCTAAGCCTCAGCACCTCAGTGACTGTGTTTGGAGATGGGAACTTTAAAGAGGTCATTAAATTAAAATGAGGTCTCAGGGTGGGTTCTCGTTCAATATGCCTGGTGTACTCATAAAAAAGGAGACTAGGACAAATACACACAGAGGACAAAGACCATATGAGGACGTAAGGAGAAGGTCACCATTTGTAAACCAAGGACAGAGGCCCCAGAGGAAACCAACCTGGCTGACACCTTGATCTACAACTTCCAGCTTCCAGAACTGTGAGATGATAAATTTCTGTTTCTGAAGCTACCTAGTTTTGTCACAGACTAAGACACCACCCAAACCCCTGGGATAAGAGGAATGTGACAGGCATTTCTCAAAGCATCGTTCTGGGGAAATATTTTGGGCAGAATTTCCTGAGTCCTTGGCACCGTAGCTCTCCTGACGATGGCAAGTGGCAGGTACTTTCACTGGAGGCTGCCAAGCAGGAAATGACTACTTCATCTCTTGACCCAGAATGCCATTCTTGGTGGAGCCCAGGGAACCAAGTACACCAAGCCGGGTGGCATGCTAGACCCCAGGTGGCACTTCTTCCATCTGCAGCAGAATGTCATAGACCTTACAGAACCGCAGCCTGGCCTACGTGCTACCTTGCAGATGGTGGGCAGTCCATGTAAGATTTTCTCATTGTGGGAGCAACCTGTAAGACTCAAACTGAGAAAACAAAATCAATGATTTCACACGATTTACTTTCATCTGAAGAGGATGATTTGCTTTTTTTGTTTTGTTTTTCATATTAAGGGACCAGGGAGTCCCCTGCCTCTCCCCTCCCCCCAACTTTTCTCCAGGCCCTACAATTTCAAGGTGAACAATTCCCCGTTGGAGTCTTGGTGAGGCAAGTATGGCAATAAGAAGGGCAAGGCTGAAGGGCATTGGGGTTTTTGTGGGGACTGACCACTTTAGGAGCAGTAGAGAGCCATTGAGAGGGACTTCCTTGGGCTGGTCTTGCTGTTTGTGTCCTGGGACCTCTTGTGTTACCCTACTTTCCAGAATGGACCTTTCTCCCCATACGGGATGCTTCGAGATGCTAGGAGTATATACAAGATACAGAGCAGGTGCAAACAAGAAATTACCGGTTCTGCCTAGTGGGTAGAATTCTACCTAGTGAGGAGGAAAGCCTTTACATGTGCAAAAGAAGACAGAATTATAAATATAAAATATTGGTCAAGTTACATCACATTTCTTGATTAATACTAGTGATAATAATAATAGCTAACATTTGTCTTCCCTGTATGGCTCAGTGGTTGAGCGTTGACCCATGCACCAACAGGTCACCGGTTCGATTCTTGGTCAGGACACATGCCCAGGTTGTGGGCCATATCCCCAGTGGGGGGTGTGCAGGAGGTGGCCAATAGATGTTCTCTCTCATCGATGTTTCTCTCTCTCTCCTCTCCCTTCCTCTTTCTCTAAAATCAATAAAGAAAAAATATTAAAAACAAAATAATAAAGTTAACATTCATCAAGCATCTCACTATTCTAAATACTTTCCAAGCATTTATAGAACCTGTGATTAGTTTCCATATTGCCTGACCAGTGTTTTCTCTCTTCGCTTTAAGATGCTTCATTCATTTAGAAAGTTGAAGAAATATTTGTTTGTGATCATTTGTTTAAAAACAAGTACAATCACTAGAACATACATTGTGTAGGAGCGAATTCTGCCTTATTTTCTCCCATATTCCTGTCGCACAGCAGTTGCTCAAAAAGTCCTGTGGGTTGAATGAGTGAAAGCCTAATCTTTTTCTTCTTTGCCGGAAAGTTGGATTTAGATTTTTTGGGAGGTTTTTTTCTTTATCATTTTTTTTTTTTGTCCTCACCCGAGGACTTTTTTGCATTTATCTTCAGATAGAATGGGGAGGGAGAGAGGGAGGAAGTGAGAGCGACACATCAACTGGTTGCCACCCACACAACCCCAACCCGGGCCAGGGACAAACTGCAACCAAGGTATGTCACCTTAGCGGGAACCGAACCCGGGACTCTCGGGTTCGCGGGCCAACGCTCTAACCGCTAAGCCAAACTGGCCAAGGCTTTCTTTATCATTTTGATAAAATTGTGACCTGTCATACGTTTGAGGGCTGTCTGTACCCTCTTTCTTTTTTCCATCAGTTTATCTGAGTAGGGGCGTGCTGGCAGGCATGTACCCTTTTCCTGTTTTCTGTCGATCGCTGTTTGTGAAGACTCAGGAGGAGGTGAGTTGTTTGGGCTGATGTGTGAGAACGTATTGCCCTTTGGGAAGAACGGTCTGTGTGTAAAGATGCTGCTATCTGGAAAAGGGACACGCAACACCTATTTCCAAGTGGCCAGCAGTGAGCGGAAGAGGCCTGGGTAGGTACAGAGCCAGGACTGCGTGGCGGGAGTTGCATGAGTCTGTGATCCACGCCCAGCACACTTCGGGGCACACGGTAGGTGTTCAACAGATAGGAACTGGTGATTATTCACGTTGACTAGACTGAGCAATGTAAGTGCATCTTCAGGGTCACGTTCAACTCTCTCCCTGCTCTGAAGTCTGCCCCACTGTGAGCTCCGTCCACAGACGCTCTCACCACCACACGGCCGCTCGGTAAGGGTGTTCTCCCAGGGAGGGGCATTTGGGTCTGTCTGCCTGTATCTGCTCAGTAGCCTATACTTATTTCTGGCTTTTCCCAAAATAGCAGCACAAGATCTGTTGGCGTCAGCAGCCCCAGCCATGGCAACTGCACCCACCTGAGTCTGTGGGCAGGTAGAACACCAGGCCGGTTAGGAAGGAGAAGAGCAGGCAGGGAATGATGACGTTGACGATGAAGTAGAGGGGCAGGCGCTGCATGACGAAGTGGTAGGTGATGTCCAGGTAGGGAGTGGAGGGGCAGCAGGCGTAGAACACCCAGTGCTTCCAGCCCCGGGACTCCTTGATCACCCACTCGCCGCTCTCCATGAAGTTGCTCAGGTCTGGCTTGTCGCTTTCCTGAGAAGATGAGATGAAACTTTGAAAACCCAGCCACATCACCCTGAGGAGAGGCAGGGTTGAAGAACCACCGGTGACCAGGCCACAGAGTCTAGTGCTGCTACGTACCCAGGTGGGACCCTGAGTCACTTCCACGTTTGGGTGTCAGGTTCCTGTCCTATAAAGTAAGGGGCTTCGAACTACTGGGATTCTCCATGTTGGTTATACATTCACATCACCTAGGAGCTTCCAAACATATTGGTGCCCTACCCCCATCCCAGATGGATTAAATCCAAATTCTTGGGACTACATTTTAGCTCCAGGTGGTTCTCATGTACAACACACCAAGAATCTTACCAACCAATTGAAACCCATCAAACTAGATGATCCCTGAAGAACTCAGTGGTGCTGGGAGCCTACGATCATGAAGGGGCTGAGCTGAATCATGCTGTGCCTGGACAACCTCACGACACGAGGTCGCCGCCTACCGGGTTGATGACCACCACAGAGCCGTCATAGGTCCAGGTGCCCAGCTTCATGCTGCAGTTCTGTTCATCAAAGGGAAAGTGGGTGACGATGATCTCGCAGTAGCTTTTAAAGATGGCCGGAGGCGTCCAGGTGATGTGGCCGGTGTGGTCCAGGAGCACTTTGGTGAACTTGACAATGGCAAAGTCACCATCTGCACTACAGTGGGACGGAAGAGCAGACAGCTGTTCGTTACTCAGAGCTAATTGTAGAAACTTTCTTCCAGGCGGTGTTTCTTTTTATCTGTGTCAGTGTTTCCCACATGAGTCTGATAATAAGCGTCACTGGGGCGCATGTCAAAATGTGGATTCCTGAGCACCGTCTGAGCACTGAATTGGATTACTTGGGGAAGAACCTTGAATCTGGTGTTTTGTGGGGTTTTTTTGGTGGTATGTGCCCCTAGGGGGAACCAAACCTGGGACTCTCTGGTCTGCAGGCCGACGCTCAACCGCTGAGCCAAACTGGCCAGGGCGCGAATCTAATTTTAAAGAAAGATTGGTAATGTGGATCCACTGCATCCCAGATCATTTTCTTCCCAGTATCTGTAATAATTTCTATCTATCCCTCCCTATATACTTGGACAATTAACTGGGAAAAACCTAGGAATTTTATTTTTTTTATTTTTATAATGTTTTTAATCCTCACCCAAGGACACTTTTTTCCATATTTTGTTCAGATAGAGTGGGAGGGGGAGAGAGAGAGAGAAACATCAACATGAAAGGGACACATCGAGTGATTGCCACCCACACGACCCAACCAGGGCTGGGGACAAACTGCAACCGAGGTACATGCCCTTAGCGGGAACCGAGCCCGGGTCTCCCTGGACCACGGGCCGACGCTCTAACCGCTGAGCCAAACCGGCCAGGGCAAACCTAGGAATTTTAAATAAAAACATATCCAGTGGCTCATTACTATGACAAGCAGGTTAAGGAGGATGTCCACTACCTTTTAAAGAACTATTAGGACTCGGTGGGGTGGGATCACAAACCCAGGTGCCTCCAGGGCCAGGCAGGTGAGGGGGGGAGGCTGTGGTGAGGGACGGCCCCTCTCTGCTCCCTTCTGTGGTGTCCCCATGCGAGCAAAGGCCCAATGTTGCCAGATATTTGGATTTTTCCTCAGAAGCTAAAAATCTACATTTTTTTTTAATCCAAAGTTTTCATTTTTGAATGTTAGCATTTTCTGGAGTTTAATGGGTTATTTCCAAATTTTCAAATGTTGGCACTAATTTCGTATTTAAAAATATCCAGCATGGTAGATAACAAAAGGCCATTGAGCAGTCCGCTCATCCTACAAGCAGCCTGTGTCCCAGGCCTTGGCCAAGGGCGGGCACAGGTGTCGGACAGGTGGGTGGACCGCCTCCGTGGGCTGTCCGGGACATAATGCCTATATTGGAGCCTCACTTGATAAGTCAAGAGATTTTCTTCCCACTGAATTTTCCTTGGGGTGGAGGTGGGGCTCTATCCAGAAAACTACATGCTGTTGGGCCTTTCTGAAGAGCAGAGGGCCACAGGGTCACCCAGTCTCTCCCTATAAGCTGGTCAGACAGGGCTCCCACCCCACTAGGTGCTCCTGAGCACGCTTGTCAGAAGGGCCAGAGATGTTCATCACTTTGCTCACCTTCTTACCGGAAGACTTAACTAACACAAGACACTGCCCTATTAGCACAATTGTCTGCGGTTACCCAAATGACTGGATACCTTGGCTCAGGCTTGAATCCCAGTTATAACTGAAAATTGAGGTGGGGTGGTCAGCCGCACAGGGTATCGTTTCCACTCACTGGCCGTGGCCACCTCCCCTGGTCAGTCCGGCAGCACACGCAGCCTGCTCGCCCCAAACCTGCGGCAGGATGCCCAGCCGCACACCCCCAGGCCAGTGCTGAACGCGCCTGCCCGGGAAGGCTGCGCTGGAAATGCACATCCCTGACTAGTGAAAGATGTGTAATAATGAACGTGTCATTAAAGCAGAGTGTCTAGAATCACATTATCATTTCATGACATGCAGTCTGTCACGGAGCCCATGGGTGGGCCACACAGGCACCCCCGGCCATTAGCAGCATGGCGTCTTGGGGTGCCACGAGGGTGTGATGGGAAACAACCCCGGGAGGTTGAGACCTGTTGGTAGGAAGGACATTTGATTCCAAGGAGCTCAATTGCAGGAGATTTGGGTTCCTTGGATAGTTGCCACGCACCCTTCAGGAGCTTCCAGGGATTAAATGTCTCCCTCCCACAGCCCTGATTCAATTTGGCTCTGATAATTGTTTCTCCTCATGACATGAGACACCATATGGCACCCTAGCATGTCAACTTGGCTCTTGGTTTCTGAGGCATTCTGAGAGGGCTGGCCTGTTCGGGCGCTTGGACTCCACCTCCCCAGGAATGTCCCCTCCCGATCCTGCCTGATTCGCTTACTTGTTATAGAGAACCAAGTCTGGGTGCCAGATCTTTTCAGAGGGAATGTGAATTTTTTTCACGCCGCCATAGTCTTCTGGGTTCCATTTGAGGTTGCAATCCACCCATTGCTAGAAATGAAGACATTTAGCTGCTTAGAAAGCTAAAAACATTTTAAAAAACAATCTAGAGCTCTGATGGGTATGATCATTCAGATAGTGACAGAAACTGTGCGATAGTAAGAAAGGTTTGATTCAGAATTCAGCTTTTGCTCTAGTTAATACCAGCAAACACTCATGCTGACTAGCTACATGCAGGCACTGTTCTAAGCATCTTATTGATATTGATCATTTTGTACTCACAATAATCCTGTGAGGTGAGAGTGATCATTGACCCCATTTTACAGAAGGAAAAGCAGAGGCACTGCTAAGTCATGCCACTGGCTAGTGGCAGATCTAGCATGCTACACTGCTCACCACAGGAAAGAGAGTGACCCTATTGTGAACATTTTCCTCAACCAGGCAGCATCATTTTTTAAAATTATTATTATTTTTAAATTTTTTTCTTTATTGATTTTTAGAGAAAGAGGACGGGAGAGAGAGATAGAAACATCGATGAGAGAGAACATTGATTGGCTGCCTGCTGCATGCCCTCCACTGGGGATTTGGCCCACAACCTGGGCATGTGCCCTGACTGGGAATCGAACTGATGACCTCTTGCTGCATGGGTCGACGCTCAACCACTGAGCCACACCAGCCGGGCAGGCAGCATCATTTTTAAAAAGTAACACAATGTTATGGATTAAATTGCATCTCCTCAAAATTCATATGTTGAAGTCCTAGCCCCTAGTACCTCAGACTATGACCTTATTAGGAGACAGGGTCTTTACAGAGGGGATTAAGTTAAAAGGAGGTCATTACATTGGGTCCTAACCCAATGTGAATGGTATCAGTATGACAAGGGGACATTTAAGACAGATACATATTCAGGAAGAATGTCATGTGAACATGAAGACGAAGAGAGGTCTGAAGCAGATTCTCCCACACAGCCCTCAGAAGAAACCCATGCTGTCGACGCCTTGACTTTGGACTTTGGCCTCAAGAATTGTGAGACAATAAATCTCTGTTGTTTGAGCCACCCAGTTTGTGGCTTTGGTATGGTAGCCCTAGCAAACAAATACACACAGAAAAAGCACAACATTCAAAACAAACACACCAACAACAATGATCCATAATCCCACCACCTCAAAATATATACGTTAGCATTTTGTTATATATCCCTTTTACCCAAATTGATTTACTCTGGGCCCAGGTTAAATTTCAGGGTGAATACAAACAACGTAAAGGCAATTATCTAACAGAATTACCTGTTTGAGTCGAACATTGGTGGTCACGATCTGATTTACTTCATCCTGAAAAAAGATAAGACCCCACATTTAGGGGGCAGAGAGGGAGTCGAGGGGAGGATGCTGCATGAGGGGATGTGTGGGGCCGTGGGTGCCCGGGCACTCTGGTCTCACCACGTTGATGAGCTGAATCAGCTGCAGGCCCACGGTGACCTCCACGGCCTGGCGGTGGTCTTCCACTGGCCGCACCACGCGGTTGTATTGTTCAAACAGCTTTGCCACCAGACGGGTCTCATGTTCAGAGCCCAGGACGAGGCCAGCTGAGGCAGCAAATGACATACACATGTCAGAGTCTCCCCTCCTGCACACACACTAACAGGAGTGACTGAGGCGGGACCAGCTAATGGAAGGCTCGCAGGACCCCTTGTTGAAAGGCTCCCAAACACAAGCACAGCTGCTGGGTGGTCCCTTCTCAGTGGGGCATGCCAGCTTATCATGACACTTGTACTTTGGACAGAGGACATTCCTTAACACAGCTTCTGTGTGCATCATGTTCCCTGAGAATGTGTATACACAGGAAGGAAGGTCCCCACAAGAGCCAGTATTTCAGAGTCTGGTCGTGGTGCAATGAAATCTCAGGTTTGCTGGCCTCCGATGCTAGGGACAGCCACAGATGAGTGCTGGTTCATGCCCCTTAGGATGGTCATAATGAGCAAAGTTGAAAATGACAAATATTGAGGCGTGGGAAGAGATAAACTAAAGAACTTATATGCATATATGCACAACCAATGGACACAGACATTAGGTTGGGGAAAGCGGAGGGGGGTGGGAGTGGGGAGGAGGGGGTCAATGGGGGAAAAAGGGGGACATCTGCAATACTTTCAACAATAATAAATAAATAAATTGGCAAATATTGTGACGCTGTGGAGAAACAGGAACCATTACATGTTGCTGATGAGGATGTAAAACGGTGCAGTCACTGTGGAAACATTTTGGTGGTTCCTCACACAAGTCACACACAGAGTTAGCATATGACCTACCAATTCCACTTCTGGGTGTATCCCCCCCCAATTCTTCACACAAAAACTTGTACCTGAATATTTATAGCAACACTATCAATAGCGAAAAGATGGAAACAACCCAAATGTCCAACAGGTAAGTGGATGAACACATTGTGGCATAACCATGAGGTGGAATATTATTTAGCCAGAACAGGGAATGGAGCCGTGATACATGCTACAACATGGATTCATCTTGAAAACATTATGCTATGTGAAAGAAATCAGACACACAAGAGCATCTCTTGCGTGGTTCCATTGAATAGAAATGTCCATAATAGGTTAATCCATAGAGATGGAGAGCAGATTAGTGGTTACTGGGGACTGGAAGGACAGGGGAGACACTGCTAACGGTTCAGGGTTTCCTTTTGGGGTGACGAAGAAGTTCTGACAGTAGATAGTGGTGATGGTTGCGCAATATTTTAAATGTACTCAATGCCACTAAATAGTTCACTTTAAAGTGGCAATTTCATGTAATGTGTCATTTACCATAATTTAAAAAAAAATCGCTGCTGGTGGGTATGTATCCTGGTTAAGTTGTTAAGACACAGTGAAAGCCATGTGCTTGGTAACCTGGATTTGGAGGCCCTACTGGGAACAGGAGTGACTCCAAGGAATCTTTCCTGAATTTCCTTTCAGGACGAAGAGCAGTATCATCGGTGCCCTTGGGCTCACAGCCCTGTTATGGCCAGTGTTATGTGGTCCTCAGCAGCCTCCGGAGAGGCAGGCAGGCAGGCAGGCTGGCCTTTTCGCCTGAGATTCGGAGAGGCTGGACGACCTGGCAAGGTCGCCCGGCTAGGGCAGAGCTGGGATCAGAGCCCTGTCACCCCGCGTTGTGCTCCTGCACTAACTCTTAATATTGTGAGGGTGTGGTGGGCTGTCTTGGAAACTGCACAACATTATTCCTATGAGAAAAAGTGTTCCCGATCCCAGCAAGTGCCTTACGAAGGGTCTTGTAACTCAAGCCTCGCGTGGATTGGGGATTGCCTGTTCAGGCTGGGGGCGGAAACAGACACACGATCCGTGTGCCCTGATTCATGTAACCAGATCTCCCCTTTCCGCAGGTTATTGCTGAAATGCCCATACCTTCTCCCTGGGCCAAGACAACTTTAAAAACTGAATGAAAGAGATGCTTTCTCTTTTTCCCCAGTCGTGTTAACCTACTACCTCTAAGACAGGTTATTATTTTTCTCCAGGGATCTTAAGTTTGAAAGAGTTTGTCAATGAAATAATTATAAAGTAAAAAGTAATTATTTTTTCTGTTTATTAATAACTGACATTTCCAACTCATGTGCCCCTCTTCTACACGCTTTATATATATTCTTTCTATCCTCATAACAAGGTATGGTAGGTGCTATTTTTTTTTTTTTTATCCTCACCCAAGGACATTTTTCCATTTTTCTTTTGTTCTTATAGAGCGGGAGGGAGAGAGAGAAAGAGAGAGAGAGAGAAACATCGACGTGAAAGGGACACATGGAGTGGTTGCCACCCGCACGACCAACCAGGGCCGGGGACAAACTGCAACCGAGGTACAAGCCCTTAGCGGAAACTGAACCTAGGTCTCTCTGGACCACAGGCCGACGCTCTAACCGCTGAGCCAAACCGGCCAGGGCGCTATTTTTGTCCTCACTTTACAGAGAAGGAAACTGAGGCACAGGGAGGTTAAGTACTTGCCCAGATTTCGTAAGTGGTGGAGCCAGTATTCAAACCCAGAGCCCATGTCTTAGCCACTATTTTTCATCCAGCACTTTGGATCAGCTTGAAGTAACCAGTGTTGTGCAATAATTCGAACATTTTTACCCCCCAAAAATGTGTTTTACTTAGTCCATAGAGCTTTATTCAAGGCCATGCATTTGTATTAACTCAGTAAATCTTTATAACTGCCCTAGGAGGAAGTCTTTAGCCCTGTTTTACAAATGAGAACACTGAGGTTCGGACAGTTGAGCGGTGCAGTGATGGTTCCCAGCGGGTTGGAGGTGGGACAGTGAACGGGGCGTCTGGTGCTAGGACTCCTGCTCTTGACTGCCTCCCTAATGGTACCTGTGTCATTCCCACTCAGAGTTTGGACATTTTTAGTGTAGCTTAAATCTCTTCATTATGTCCTGGACTCTATGTAGGGAACCCCTGACCTAGCCTGCCTCTTCATCTCTCGTTTCCCAAGTTTTCTGAACCCAAAAGGGTCCATGCAGAGATTTCATGTGGCATCTCCCCAAAACCACCTGCACTCAAGGACTCTTCAAGACAGCAATGTTTGCAGTCACCCCACTGAGCCCCTGGGACCCGGCCACCCTCTGTCCTCCATGCCTGTCTACCTCGGGCCCCACTCAGCCCAGGGTGGGCAGAGGCGGGCATGGGTCACTGAGTGCCGTGGCCACTGAACTTGAAGCTAGTGCTTGGCGTTGCCCTGGGCTGCTTATTTCCAAGTGATGGTTTATTCCGGTCTGACAGGAAGAACACATTAACAAGCAACAGACAGAGCAGATGGTCAGCATTATGTAACAGGAAAACTATGCAGGCCAGCCCCACGGTCCACGAGGGAGAGGGCAGGCCTGGGAGACAGGCAGGGTCACACGCCAGTGACACGCATTTCCTCTTCTCCCGCCTCGGCCGGTAACAAGGGCCTGGCTCCTTCCTTAACGAATTCCTCGGGAATTTTTGAGAGGCTCTCCATTTCTTAGATTGGGTTCATTAGCATTCTGTCCTTTCTTTCCTCCTTGAAGCAGGGTAGGGTGATAGGAAACTTCCAGGACTTAGGTCAGAATCTATTATTCTGTTTCTAACTCCAACACGGTCTGGAGAATGGGACCGATTCCTCACGGAGTCAATGAATCACAGTAAATACCTTCCTTAAAAGGCAGGGTGTAAATTAATAACCATGCAGACAAATTAATAATATCAAAGTCTCCCTTTGCAGCAAAATCATCCTAATTCAGATGATGGTAACCTTAACTGCTTCATCAAATATTTGTTGTGCCTTTACTGTGTGCAAAGCTTTGTTTTAAGAACTCTGAGATAATCAAAAGTGAATCTGACATAAATTCTGTCTTCCCACCTTCATGGAGATGAACATTTGTCACTTACATAAATAACCGAACAAAGTGGAAAGTAATATGCTATAAGAGGGGTGGCAATAAGTACTTGAGATTCTTGAGATGGAAGAGAGGAAAGGTTGTCATAAAAATGATATATAAATAGGACAGAGATCATTATGTGATAAGCTAACACAGGAAAATATATCCCTGATATAAATGAGAATTTAGCCCACAAAGAACTGATTCTAAGTAGGGGAACCCAACCACAGTTTCAAAGTGTTTTTTGTACCAGACTGGTCCAATGTGTGTTTTCATACCCGCTGGGTTGGGCCAAAGAATTCTGTACTATTACTAGTCCCCTTGGGCAGTGCTTATCTCAACCTGGTGCTCAGCTATCACTTCAGGCTGTGTTCCGACTGCACACACAACGAACGGAGTCCCCAGGTGATCCCATCCCAAGATTTATAAATGAAGTGACTTTGGGAAGGTCAGCTTATGTCTTTCAGCCTCAGTTTCCCTATAATACAGAATCGAAGATGCTGGAAACCTCATCCAGCTCTACACCCACCCATGAGACCTGACAACAGCAAATTCTAGGGTTGATCTCAATACATATCACATACATTTATTTATTTATTTATTTATTATCCTCACCCAAGGACATTTTTCCATTTTTTATTCAGATAGAGTGGGAGGAAGAGAGACAGAGAGAGAGAAACATCGATGTGAAAGGGACACATAGAGTGGCTGCCACACACACAACCCAACCAGGGCCGGGGACAAACTGCAACCGAGGTACATGCCCTTAGCAGGAACCAAACTGGGTCTCTCGGGACCGCAGGCCGACGCCCTAACCGCTGAGCCAGACCGGCCAGGGCAATATCACATACTTTTAAAATTAGCCTAACATGCATTTTTGGAGGTGTCTGGTGTCCTAAGAGATCTCCTAAGGATTTTTATAATAAGGATATCACTTCAGACTTTTCACTGAGCAAAGTGTTTGCACACACGCCACCACCACCACCACCAGGCCAGCTGTGGTTGGATCAAGTCCACATCCCACAGGATATGATTTATCTGAATTTGTTAGACTTCGGGCTGTTTCCCTCAACTCTGCTATTGAAAAACATGGACAATAAAGAAGCCTGCGCTTGTCAGAGCAGCGTTGGAGAAGAGAAGTCACGGACTGTCAGCTGCTCGGTCTCCCCGCTGGGATGATGCCACCGGTCAGCATCCGCCTGCCTCCACCGGAAGTCTGGGATTCAGGATAGCGTCTCAGCTGCTCGCTGCGACACATCCCAGAGCTGGGTACAGGTCAGGGGCTGCGCGAGCTTTCCTGCTTTCGATCCAAACCCAAGCCTGCCTACAGGGATGTACTTCAACAAAATAGTAGGCAAGAATGCATTCAACAGCAACTTCTTTTTTAACTTCAGAAGTTTAAAGTTACGAAATATTTCGTCTCGTGAAGAGACTTTAATTACAATCGTGAATAGGTTTCTCTCTCTGGCACACGGAGCTGTCAATCAATCGTCTTCATTTTCGGAATTCTCGGGGAGCAACAACAGGGCTTGCCGAGCTTATTGTCTGCGGCTCTAAGTCGTCACTCTAGGGTCTGATCACAGGGCTGAGTCGGAGGCCAGGCACAGACGGAGGGAGAGACCTGCCTGTCCGCTTTGTAGCCTTTGACCAAGCAACTCCTATTTTAATTAGATAGCACAAACTAAAAATCTTTATCCACAGACCCGATCAGGCCGACATCGGTGAGAAACTGACAGAGGTCTGGGGCTGCTGAAGCCTGCCATTCTGTGTTCCCACCGAAGAAGCGAGACTCAGGTTTGGGGGCGTCCAGTGCTTCAGCCTCCAAAAAGAGCCCCCCAACACCAGCACTTACCTGAGCAGAGGCCAAGGAGCAGGAGGAGTAGCCAGGACTCCATGGGCTGTGGGGCCGGCGTGGACTGGTGGCAGGCTGGTGACCGGTGCTGCTTGCTGGCGCTCTGACTGGACACTTGGCTGCCAGAGGGCTTTGGACAGTGAGCCGCTCGGCGGAGCTATTGTTTGACACCACCTGTTCGTGGCGGGGACAGCTGGGCTCGCAGAGCCCTGGAGCCCAGGGAGCCGCGAGGCCTGACACTGTTAGCGTGCCTCATTTACACAACTGCTGTACCCTTGACGAGCTGAGTGTGAATGGCATAGTGCTGTCCATGCACCACGAGTCAGATCTGAATATAAAAACAAAAACCTTACAGTAGGGAAAGACTTATTCTGAATGGTGAGCAACCCTCTGCTCCCTCATGTGAAAACCAGCACCGCAGCCCTGTGGATGGATTCGGTGAGGGTCCCTGGTCTGAGCAGAGGCGGCTGTGTGTCAGACGCTGGTCATCCGCGTTCTGTACACAGAGACACTTGCTCTGGTTTGCTCCTGGGCATTGGTGACAGCATGAATTTGAGAAGAATGTGGTTAGTACTGAATGTGCTGCCGGAGAGCCGGGTCTGCTTGGACTTGGTTCTCGACAAAGAATTTTTGGTTCTATAAAATCGGTTTTACTGGCTTCCGGAGTGGCTGTTCCAACCCCTCTCGCTGCATGAGGCAGTGCCTGTCCCATGGTGGCCCCTTAGCCTGGCCAGACTGCCCACCCCCTCCTGCTGTCGCTGGGGGCAGGGTGTCCCGGGGCGGAAGCCGCTGTCCCAGAGGCCTGCTCCTCCATCCAGTCCCCTGCCTATTCTCACTCAGGGAAGCAAAGAGCAGAGTGGTTCATCTTTTCCAAAATCCTCAAAGCCAGCAGTTAGTAATTGCTCAGCCTGAGATTTTTTTTTTACCAAAACACGGAGGAAGATGTTATGTAAGGGGACCCTGTTCCTTTTCTGTCTTCCTTGCCAAATCGAATCAGGTGAGAAAGTTCCCTCAGCTCAAGCCCAAAGATAGCATTCTTACAACCCCCCATTTCGGAGACTCCAGATAATTAGAGAAAGGACTCAGAGGGTAGAGGAGAGAGCTGAAAGTTCACATTTACATTTTTTTCTGTTTAAAATGATGGGAGATCAGCTAACTGTCCACTAACAAAATTGGTTTTCTCCTTTCCACCTATCAACCCTATGCCTGCAGGATTTTCCCCACTTTCTGGCTGTAGGAACACAGGACAAGCTGGGGGTGCAAGAGCGAGAGAGGCCCCAGAAAGTGTCCAATCACTGTAGGAGGAAAATGCCCCAGCTCCCCACCCTACACTGGGGTAACTGAGGCACACTCTATGCTGAACATTTGTGGGATTGAGTTCCTTTTGCCTGTGGTGGAAATGACTTGGCATCCTCCCTTTGCTGTCTTCCCTCTCTTCTCCGCCTCACTTTCCCACCCTGCGGCCACTCAGATAAACTCCGCACAGGTGTGCTTCCGGGGGAAACCCAATCAAGACAGAGTTTCTCCCGCCGTCCGGGCAGGACATCTTCACAGATGGACATGGGTGCCTTGGCCACACTCCTAGCATCTTACCTTATCTCTTCTGGAGGTGAAAAGTAGACTGAAAAAAAAATTAAAACTTACGTGGAAGCAAACTTATTTTTTTCATTACAAAGTTTACTCTTCAAGTAATTTAAATTTACTATGAAAAAATTAGAAAACAGATGAACAAAAAATGTTTACTCACTATCCTTCTTCCTGGAAATATCCATGGCTAATCAGTTATTTTATATCCATTTAGACCCTGGCCATGTGTGTATGTATTTCACGATCTCAAGTCCCTGCTTCATGCTACTTAGAGTCAAAAGATTTCCTTTAATTTTTAGGTTTTCGTGGATTAACCAATGCTATTCTCAGGAGGTTAATCTTTCTCCAGCTTTATTGAGGTATAATTGACAAATAAAACCGCAGGTTATTAAAAGTATACAATGTAACGGTTTTAAAGATACATACATTGTGAACGGATTCCCAGTGCATTCATTTAGTAAACAATTTTATTCATTGAGCATCGCTATGTGCCAAGCACAGCTCTAGGCATTTGGGATGCATCAGTAAACAGAGCCAAGATTTCTGCTCCTCAAGAAAAATGCGTTCTTGTTGGAGAAAATAAAGGAATAAATAAATATATCTATAGTTAATAAGGAAATTGTTTAGTATTTTATGGGGGGGGGGATGCTATGCAAAAAGGGAAAAAGTAGAGCATGGTAAGAGGGAGGGACCAGGACAGCTGGAGAGGGGTTGGCTCCAGTGAGAACCAGGCATCTGAACAAAGACTTGGAGGAGGTGCAGAGATCTGTGGGGTGAGCATTCCAGGCAGAATGAACAGCAGTGAAAGTCCCTAAGGGGAATGGGCCTGGTGTGCTCAAGACATAGCAAGGAAGCCAGCCTGGCTGGAGCAGAGTGAGTGATGGGGAGACGGCTAGAAGATGAGATCAGAGAGTAGCCAGGGGAAGAGGGGTTGTAGCACCCCTTGCAGACTTTTATTCTGTGGGAAATGAGGTGCCTCCTCAGGGTTTGGAGCAGAGGAGTGACATGATCTGACATACGTTGTAAAAGGACAACTCTGCCTCCTGCTTTGACAAGAGGCCATGGGAGAGACAAGTTAGGCCCTACGACAGTCATCCGGGGATAGATAGTGGTGGCTTGGCCAGAGTGATTGCAGTGAGGGTGATGAGAAGCAGCTGGATCTGGGAATATATTCTGACACTAGGGCTAACAGGATTTTCTGAAGAATTGGATCTAGATGTGAGAAAGAAGGGATGATGATTAAAGATGACTTCAGGGTTTTGGCTTGAGCATCAGGAAAGTTAGGAGTCAACATGCGACTCAGGAAGGCTGTGAATAAAGCTGGTGTAATGGCGGTGGGGTGGGCAGGCAGGAGTTGTTAGGGACGTGATGGGTTTGAGATGTCTATTCGAAATCTGAGTAGGCAGTGGCATTGATGAGTCGGGAGTTTAGGGGAAAGATGTAGGCTAGGGTACAGGGTGCTGAAAGCCTCGGCTGGATAAAGTCAAAGGAATGAGCACAGGCAGAGAAGAGAAGAGAACTAACATTAAAAAACTAGGAAGTTGCCCTGGCCAGTTTGGTTCAGCGGTTGAGCGTCGGCCTGCAGAGCAGAGTCCTGGGTTTGGTTCTTGCTAGGGGCATGTACCACAAATTATTATATGATCAATTTTTTTATTTAGGTGGTAACAGATTGTGAAAGCACTTTTTGCATATGTTAATATTGTGTATTATTAAAATATTGGCTGCTTAAAAAAAAACTAGGAAGAAGAGAGGGTGCAGCAAGGGCTGAGGGAGCAGTGCAGTAGGAGAGTGGGAGAGGGCGGACCTCCGGAAGGCAGCCCAAGTCCTACAAGGAACGGGAGTGGTCCGCTGTGTTAAAGCTTCTGATGAAGCCCATGAGATGAGGACAGAAATGACTATGGGCTTAGCAATATGAAGGCCATTGGTGACCTTGAATGTACAAAACCTGACCAGAGTCAGTTTAAGGGCGAGAAATTAGAGGGGTTTTCCTGCGAAGGGGAAGGAAGACAGGAGGTGATAGTGGGTGGGGAAGTAGGGTCAATAGAAGTTAACTGAAGTTTTTATTTTCTGTCTTATTTTCAGATAAGAAAAATAACAGCATATTTGCATGATGATTATAATGACCCAACAGTAACAATAAAAAATTGATTATGTAGTAGGAACCTACTCATAAAATGTTTCCATAAATGGGATTTACTATAATACTTTTCTATAACTTGCAAAATATATAATAAATATGTCTCTAATTAAGGAATGTGGCTCTACATTTTCATTTTTAGTGCATAATATTCTATCTTTTTAGTATTCCATAATTTGTTTAACCAATCCTTTATTACTGGACATTTGAAAGTTTCTTGTTTATCTTTTTTTTTCTTTTATAAACAGTCATGCAATAAATATTCATATCCATATATATACATATATATATATATATGTATATATATGGATATAAGCCCAATTTTATGATTGCTCCCTTTAGATAAGCTCCTAAAGGTGAAATTACTGGGTCAAAGAATGAAACCATTTAAAATAATTTTAATGCACATCAAGTAGCCCAAACCTCCATTTCAGAATCAATCAAACTCATCTAGGCCAGCCCTTATTGCAACTATATTTTCCCATAATACACACCACAGCTGTGCATGGTTACATTTATTTGTGTGATTATGTGCTTGACGTCAGTCCCTCCCCCTGGGCTGGAAGCTGGTGACTGCAGAGGTGGCTCCCACTTTTGCTCACTGCCACCTCCTCAGCTCCTGGGCCTGAGCCTGCCACACAACAGGCATTCGGTCGATAACTGTTCATGAGTGAATGGATGAGTGGAAAGCTGAATTCAAAGATAAAGGTACATGATCACGCTGGATAATGTCATTTGGGGATAATGAGGTGTGACTAACAATCACGCACAGTGCCTTGCAGGGTACCTGGTATATAGCTTCAAAGGTGTTTGTAATTGACTACGTAAATAATACATGAATGAAGGATATTGCTTTTATAATAGTCCTCTTTCGTGGGTGGCTTAATTAATGAAATCATTGTGGGTCCTCCCAAGGTCACTCCTTTGGAGAAAATACTCCATCTGAGTCTATATCTTGAGGCAGTTACCCCTTGCCGAACCCTCCCTGTTCCAGTGCTGAGCACTTCCTCCCAGTGGCCAGCAGGTGGCAACAGAAGGTTATTAAAGTGGCTGCAGAGCTTCAGAGGCTCTCTGCAAGGGTTGTCTTGGGCTGGGACACCACCTATTGTCCCCAGGGTCTGTCAAGGCACTGTCCACCTGAAAAAGCCCTGCAGACCTGCCAGCGGGTTCCTTCCTGGGAGGCAGGCTGCTCAGATGCTCAGAGCCGTTCCCAGGGATCCCTGGAGCAGTGGTCTCCCCTCAGAAGAGTAAAGAAACAGGGGTCAATTTAGCCCCCAAGAGTCCAATTCTGCTTTTTCATTTCTCAGGGTTTACAGTTCCAAGGGACTCCAGAGCCGACAGCTCAAGAGCCAGATGACCTTCATTTGAGCATCTGGACTTCCTCAGGCTGA